TCTCTTCTTCAAGGTACTAGCAACATTTAGCTGAACTTGTGCTTTGAAATATCTACAGTAGATCATATTCACATTGTGAGAAAATCGGTACATACTTCCACTAAGAGTCACAGGAATTAATCCTCAACATTTCATCTCACTGACATAAAGTTCTATCCTCATGAGTCTGCTATGTTCCTTACAGCATTTCATAGATAATTATTCTTGATCTACGTTCATGACCTACTGAGTTCCATTCCGTTAACATTTTTGCTTCTTTTTTCCTTAAACTGTCTGAGTCTCTCCCTGTATTGCTGTTCCTCGTGTCCTTCTGTCAATCTTCATTTCATATTTTTCATGAGCTGTATCCACAAGCTGATGAACAGAATTTAGAGAAACTTCAAAATACAGTCAGGGGAACTAACATTAATGCTTTGTTCTCATGGATTAAATAGTAACATTTGAGAACAGGAACTATAAACAAAGTGTCATGTGAAAAGGAGCAGAAATGAAGGATTTTCTGTCCTACCTATATTAATATATTTTTGTCTATTAGTGTCCCCCTCCCTGGAGTTCAAAGCCTTTAAAGTCCGAAAACAGTCAGTCAACGTCTTCTTACGGGGAGACCCTTCACTTGACAGATTCACTGAGATGGACAGGACTTTTGATACCCTATTTATGGGGACTGCACTTAATAGCAATGGAGAACCTTCTCAGCAAGTTTCTCCTACGAATTATTCCACTGTCAATGAGCCTGCTAGCATTGAAAAAAACCCCCGAAAAATGGACTAACTCTTAGCAGCTCACGAAATAACTTTTATTAATACAAATCTGTGACAACTTATAGGGTTCATGTTGTCAGTGATAACGTTTAACTGCAAAATTCCACTTAACTAATAAAACCTCAAACCAGAAGCACGATCTCCAAAACCAACAAAACTTCCTAAGAAGCAATAGATCACTATAACACCTTAATACAAAACTCAAGCAACCCCCCTCCACGACAGACCAATTTACAAAGACATTAGTACAGTCTATAAAGTATAGGGAAAATTAGTATCTATAAGGTAAAGCAAAGTATAATTAATATCCATAGGGTAAAAGGGAAGGCAGGATATAAGGAAAGGTGAAAGCAGAGTAAAATAAGCAAAGTACAATTAGTCTATAAGGTAGAGATAAAACATATATAAGGCAAAATGTAAGGATGCAATGTCAGGATGCAAAGTATGATTAGTAAAGGTGAAAACAAAGTAAAATATAAAAATGGTTACTCACTCCACAGCGTCCTGAGGAGTGGAAGGAGAAAAGGCAGCTAATCAGTTACCCCCACAGAAATGATGGAACTTCTCCCCGATTTTTGCTCGTCTGATCTCTTTTTATACTTTTTTTCTTAGGCAGTTTGAGTGACTACAGTCAATAAACTAATTTTTAGGATGATATACAGATGACATAGGCCTAAGGGTCAGCTTCCTGAGTTCCCATCAGGTAGGATGTTTGCGAAGAAAGGCCATGCTATCTCCATACCATTCCATCCTTCCTTGATCCTATCAGTCTGTTGCTGGGAAATCTCCCCCAGGTGCTGGAGTCTTTCGGGAAGCCATCAGGAGTCTCTTTGTCCCTTTTTGTGTAGCCTTATCACCTTACAATGGGTTTTTTGTAGTGCTCCCTTCAGGTGCTGGGGTCTTTCCCAGTAACCGCTCAGGACTGTCAGTGTGCCCTTAAATTGGTCTATCATCTTATACAAAGTCATGAGGGTGGTCTACTAAATTGATTATGATGTTTTAACAATGATGCCTTTATCAAAACCCGTTAACAGAAATTCAACAGTAAGCTCTTTATTTTTGTCAGCGTACCAATGAAATCACTGATGAATCCACCCATTCCTGCTTGTCCTACAGCCAAGTATGTTTGAATCAGGTGGAGAGGCAGGTTCCCTGAACTCTAGTGATGGTCATGTTATGGAATCACTGTGTTAGTTTCAGCTTCATCCCTTAGGAATCATTCAAGTAACCGTTATGTTAAGCAGCACTCCATTCTTGAGCTAGTCTTTTTTATCATATTAGCTGATTATAAATGTGAACCTAAATGGCAGAACTGAAGACAAATGGATTTTCCAGCATGCTTCATTAAAATGCAGTTCATTCAAATGTCTTGCAAGGATGTCAAATAGGTGAAAACATGTAAGATAGGCAAATCAAAACTGATTATAAAAGCTGCTGAAGAAATCAGAGTAAGATAAAAGTTGACACGAAAGGTTAATTTAAGCAGTAAGACTCTTTAAGGCCATTGGTCTTGAATGCTTGTGTAAGTTCACTGTGCTAAAATAATCTAATAATTGGTTTTCAGCTTGCTGCAGTCTGGCCTCTAGTTTATGCAGACATTGTGAAAATTGCCTTTAGGTAGCTTGGAAACCAATCAAAATATCTCTGGATGTCAGCTCAGGATGGAGTGCAAAGCCATGGAATAAATTGTCAAAAATGGTCCAGCTAAACTATGATGATATCAAGTGCATACAACCACACTGCACAGAACCAGAGACTGGAATTTGGGATGGTAGCATAGTCATCGAGCAATGTCTCCTTCTTTCCATGTATCTGAGCCTTAGTGAGAGAAGGCTTAGTCACTTCATGAGGTCAGCACAGAGGGCACAGCTCCTGAGTGACACAGCAGTAGTTGGAAAGCATATCTTACTTGCCATGCTGCTTGATGCAAACCCAACAGAACTAATCAATATATAATCTTTCTAGTATAAATATACTTTATTTATTTCCATATAGATTAAGCCTTTGACTGTATTGTGGACATATTCTAATTTATTCAGTGATGACAGTAGTAGCAGATGTGTTATATTTGTAAAGTTCCTTGCACAATCTCACTGCTGTAGAAATGTTTTGTTACAACAACTGTGAAGTGGGTTTTTTGTTTTGGTTTTTTATTTTCATTCCAAAGTTTATTGATAATTTGATATGATTTTTCTTTAAGAATATTGTCTCCCTGAGTGGCTTTGAAAGAAGTAGAAGATGTGGAATAGATGTTAGATATTAACAAAAAGAATTACATTGCTGAGATGGACAGAAGCCAGGAAATATTCTGTTTTAATCAATATTCTTGGTTTGAGTCAAGAAACTGTGCTTTATTATATTATTAGCAGTGTTATTACTAGGTTGGACCAACATTGCCTTGAATAATATCCATATGATACTAACTATAGGTAACAATTCTGTGATTACTGGTATTATTAACATTCTCAGCCAGGATTTTACAGTATGCAATAACACTATTACAACTACTAGAAGATGGAATTTGTTGTTTCAAAGTAAAAACACAGTAACAGATCTTTAATCCAAAGAATTTACAGTCTAAACAGTTAAGAAAAATGTTATGCTTATATGTTATAGAACATTTCTACTTGAAATACCAAGGCTGCAGAAAAATTCATATTCCTTAAGTAAATACTCTAGAACAAGTACTTTCTTAAATATAAATGTTAATTTTGAAACCTGGATCCCCTTGAATTCAGTAGCAACGCTCCTCCAGGTATCAATGGGTCCAAAACTTTGTTCTGATACCATTTTCCATTACTTTTGGAGTCCTTCTGCACTTTCTAAGATTCAAAGTTTATATTTGTTCTCTCTTCACTCTCTTCTATAGTGTCACCATTTAAGTATTGCTGTGTGGTACAGAATGAATGTCAAGTGCTCCCCATTTATAAGGGATATAGATTTGAAGTGCTAATATGCCAGCTATTGACATTTCTAAAGAATACTGCTGATTGATATTGCAGCCCAGAAGCATCTTTTAAACACTAGAGCAAAGGGTATGTATCAACAGTAGCAGTACTCAAACATAAAATTTTGACAGCATGGGACAACAGAGACTACTCCTCCTTCAAGTCATGGAAAATTCAGTTTTAAACCTAAGGGTAAATAAGACCTCTGAAGAGTTACTGTTCCTTAGATTTTAATTTCTTTCACACTTTGTCCTTTTTCTACCTGCAGGCAAACATCATCAGCACCTTACAAATTCTGCTCCAGTTATATTGACCCCTAGCTTTCTGTATTTGTTAATCTATTGATACTTTCCTTAAATACTCTCTGAATTACTGTCTTGTTGACCTTGTCCTTAAAGGCAGACAAAATCCAAAGAAATCATCAAATTGAATCAGCAGAACTATGGATAACAACAAAGAGAATGAAGTTAACTACAGCTGATTGCCTCTTGCTGCTACACTGAGCAGACTGCTTCATTGCTCCACACCTTCTAACCGTAGGACACATATCTGAAAATTGCAGATAAGATTATTGCAATAATTTCTTCCTAATCCTGTTTCCTTTGTTCCTATGATGAACTGCCTGGATGCAGCACCTGCCATTACAGACAACCATGTCATATAATCCATTTCATAAACTTATCAAGTATCATTTTAAAAGTCCTTAGGCCTCTTGATCCTGCTGTTGCTATTTTACTCAAAACACACAGCTTTTTGTTAGAATTCATCTTATATTTCTCATCCTCATTTAATTCACAGCCAGCTTTTACCCATTTGATCTCTTGCCCAATATTTTATGTTGGTAAATAAGGTGAAATGATAAGCATGAAGTAGAAAAATAAGCTATTTTAATTAAGGAGAGCCAGAACCATGCTATTCCTATTGCCCTATAGCAAAGCCTGCTCCTTGAAAACCTGTCCATTCTGTTTGTGGGGTACTGGGATTAGCCTATGCATATCACTGTGTTTTTTGACATTGAATTTTAAAATGTAACCTGTAGAAACACACGTGACAAGAATCACACACTGTATATATTAAATCATCTTAGTGACTTCTGAAGGAAAACTATTTCTTCTTGTTCTAAAGGAATAAATACACTCAGATTTTCTTGAATCATATCTTACTTTTTCATGGCATTTTTGATATCTTTTAATAGTGTGTTAGTTTTAACACCAGCTGGAAATTAAACTTCAAATAAGCCACTCCCTTTACCCCATCCCCTCTGGTAAGAGAGGGACAAAAGCACAGACTATGGGTTGAGATAACAATTTACTGAAAGCACAAAGCAATGAAATAAGACACGCACACTAAAACAGCAGTATTAATAGCAAAAGTATACAAAAAGAGGAGGTGTTTTAACAACAAAAAAGTGTACACCACTGGGAACAAAACCAAGATGGTAGACGCTCCCTGTAAGTTGCGTTCACATGGCTTCACCAGAGAAAGGCAACGTGGTGACTGTTCCATTGCACCACGTGGCTGTCAGGAAAAAAGGCAAGAAGGCAGTGAGAGCTACTGTGGCTAATGTTTCCCACCCCCCATCCCAAAAAACAACAAAAAACAATGACATACAAGCTCCTCAAAACCTAAGTGATCCAAGTCGGGGCACACCGCTGCTCCACTTGGCTCAGTTCCACTCAGGTGCCTGCACTGCTGTTTCTATGGCTCTGCTGTGCTGTTGATATAGCAGTACAGTTGATTCGCGTTTTTGTCCTTTCCTTTTCAGCACCACGTCCTGTAACTGCATTCCCAAGAAAATGAGAGGGGGACTGGTAGTGGTGACAGGGGGATCGAGTCTGCAGGAGTTGATCTTGACAGTCCCCCTGCTGGAGAAAGGGAGGCAAAATGGCACATGTCCCATGGGACACCCAGCTTTTCCTCTGGAAACCATGCTATCCAGTGATGATGTGGGTGGTACAGAAAGTCAACCTGGCCACACCCACACAGCACTAAGCTCCACCATCTCTCTGCAGTCAGGACAAAAAGAGAAGTTGTTCCCTAGGTTTAAGTATATTGCATTTTATTTATACAGTTGAATTTGATCTCTTTTCTGTTACTTACCTCTTTGAGATTGTTTCATTAGCAACATCACTCTGAGTTGATGCTTTCATTCAGTAAAACCTGCTGCAATCTTCTTTTTTTTCTGTCGACTTTATAGGTTTCTCCTATCCCTCTTCTTGTTTAAGAATAACTTTTTATTCATCATCATGTTCAATACTTTATGGAAGTTCTAAAAGATAAAATGACAGTGAAACAGTCCATCTTCTCTAAGAGAGAAGTAAGGTCAATCTAATACTATTTTGCAAATGCGTATCACACACACATCAAGCCTTTTCCATTTGATTTAATTCCTACAATAATTATTTCATTTAAGATTTATTTTAATTGAATAGCCAAGGTCATTCTGAAAGTCCTGTAGCTGCCTCAGTCATTTTCTTTCCTTCCCTTTTAAACAATATGATTACTGAATATTGATGCATCTTTTTTTTTTTTCTTCAAGCCCCTATTTGTTCCATACTGGCTTGTCAAAAAAATAAAAAATCACTACTCTAGAGTAGAATAGGATAGAATCATTTAGGTTGGAAAATACCTCTAAAATCATCGAGCCCAATCATTAACCAAGCACTGCCAAGTCTGCCACTAATCTGTGTCCCTACGTGCCACGTCCACACTTCTTTTAAATTATATCCAGGACTGATGACTCCACCACTTCCCTGGGCAGCCTGTTCCAATGCATGACCACCCTTTCAGTGAAGAAATTCTTCCTATTACCCAATTTAAACGCCTCCTGGAGCAACTTGAGACCATTCCCCCCCCACCTTGCTACAGCCTCCTTTCACGTAGTTGAAGAGAGGAATAAGGTCTCCATTCAGCCTCCTTTTCTCCAGGATAAACAAGCCCAGCTCCCTTGGCTGCTCCTCATAATACTTGTTCTCCAGATCCTTCATCAGCTCCACTGCCCTTCTCTGGACGTGCTCCAGCACCTCGACGTCTTTTTTGTAGTGAGAGACCCAGAACTGAGATGCAGTCTCACCAGCGCCAAACACAGAGGGATGATCACTGCTGTAGTCCTGCTGGCAGGACTACACTATTTCTTATACAAGCCAGGATTTCACTAGCCTCCATGGCCACCTGGGCAGAAGGCTGGTTCATGTTTAGCCAGCTATTGACCAGCACTCTCAGATTTTTTCCGCTGGGCAACTTTCCAGCCACTTTTCTCCCGGCCTGTAGAGATGCGTTATTGTTGTGACCCAACTGCAGACCTCAGCACTTGGCTTTGTTGAACCTCATATCATGAACCTTGACCCATCAAGACAGCCTGTCAAGATCCCTTCTACCTTCCAGCAAATCAACACTCCCACCCAACTTGGTTACATCTGCAAACTAACCGAGCTTGCACTCCAACCCCTCATCCAGATAATTGATAAAGATATTAAACAGGACTGAGCCCTAAGGAACACCATTAGTGACTGGCTGCCATCTGGGTTTAACTCCATTCACTACCACTCTCTGAGCCTGTCTATCCAGACCGGTTTTTACCCAGTGAAGAGTATACCCCTCAAAACCATAAGTAACCAGTTTCTCCAAGACAGTGCTGTGGGAAATAGGGTTAATGACTTTACTAAAGTCCAGGTAAACAACATCCACAGGCTTTCCCTCATCTGCTGACTGGGTCTTCATGTAATAGGAGACTAGGTTAGTCAAGTAGGACCTGCCATTCCTAAAACCATGCCATTGGGCTGATCACCTCATTGTCCTGTGTGTGCCATGAACTGCTCCATAACCTTCCTCAGTATCAAGGTCAGGCTGACAGACCTGTAGTTCCTCAGATCCTCCTTTCAGCCTTTCTTGTAGATGGGTGTCACATTTGTCAACTTTCAGTCAACTGGAACCCCCTCAGTTAGCCAGGATTGCTGGTAAAGTTGTCACAGCATCAAGCCTGACAGAGTTCAAGAAGCATTTGGACAATACTCTCAGGCATATGGTGTGACTCTTGGGGATGGTCCTGTGCAGGGCCAGGTGTTGGACTTAGTGATCCTGGTGGGTCCCTTTCAACTGGGCATATTCTGTGATTTTGTGATTCTGTAAATGATAGAAAGTGACTCCATGACCACTTCCAGCAGCTCCCTCAGTTCCCCTGGATGGATCCCATTCATCCCCTTAGACTTGTGCATGTCTACATGGTGCAGCAGGTTTCTGACCTTTTTCTCTGGATTATGGGGGTTTTGTTCTACTCCCTGTACCTGTCTCCCAACTGAGGGGGCTGGGTACCTTAAGAACAATTTGTCTTACTATTAGGAAGAAGGCATTAACTACCTCATACTTTTCTTCATCTTTTGTTATTATGTTTCCTCCTCTATCCAATAAAAGATGCAGATTTTCCATGGCTTTCTTTTAGTTATTGATGTATTTGTGGAAACATTTTTTATTGTCTGTTATGGCGGTGACCAGATTAAGTTCTAGTTGGGCTTTCGCCATTCTAATTTTCTCTCACGAGATCCTTTTGGTCCTCCTGAGTGAGCCATCCCTTCCTCCAAAGGTCATAAACTCGCCTTTTTTTCTTGAGTTCCAGCCAAAGGTATTTGTTAAGCCCAGTTAATCTTCCCCACCGGCTCATCTTCTGGCACACATGCCTTTAAGATTTGCTTCTTGAAGGACATCAAACCTTGCTGGACTCCTTTGCGCTTCAGGACTGTCTCCCAAGTGACTCTGTCAACTGGGATCCTAAACAGGCCAAAGTCTGCCCTCAGGAAATCCAAGGCGGGAGTTCTGCTGAATCCTCTCCTTACTTCTCAAAGAACCAAAGACTCTATCATGTCATGATCACTGTGCCCAAGACAGTCTCCAATCATCACATCATCCACAAGTCTTTCTCTGTTCACAAACAGGTCCAGTAGGGCACTTTCCCTACTGGGCTCACACAACAGCTGTGTCAGATGTTTTCCTGTTCCCTTGAAATACAAATTCCTCTGAGTTTTGGTAGGTCTGATTTAGAGAATGATGACCAAGAGATACCACTCTCTCCAGCACTTTTTTGTCACCAATATATAGTGGAGAAAAAAATTACCAATATTACAATATTGTTACCATTTCTAGTAGCATTAATCTCTCTAGTAAAATATAGAAGTCTGTATTATTTTCAACCCTTGAGGCTTGTGGAGAACTCTCATAAGACCAACAAAGTAAAATTGCTTCTACAACCTTTCCCCAAAGTAGCTTTGATAAAAATAAGTTTCTCTTTACTCCATGCTGTCTGATTTTATTTCTTTACAATTTATCATTTCATTAACCAACAATGCTATCCTACCATCCCAGCTTTCGTTATTCACTCCTGAGTATCACATAGCTTTAAACAAGGCTGTTCCAATCATGTTATTAAATACGGTAATCAGCAATAAAAGCACATAAACGAATTGGAAATACACAAAGAATGAAAGCTTAGTGGTCAGAACTGGTCAAAATTAGTAAAACTATAAAGTAGTTGTAAGAAACTAAAGTTTAGGGATGTGAAGGTATGTATAACCACAGGAAGAAATAATTTAATAAGTAAAAAAGTTAAGGTCATAAAAGAACCGCTCAAGCACAGCCTATGCAATGCATTAAGAAGAACAAATTCAGAAGTTACTTCTGTATTGATATGTAGCAGTAGTTTTACAGATGGAATTGTTTGTTGCTCATAGACTTTTCCTTAAATCTACCCTCAACTATTTTTTAGCCCGGACTTCATAAAGAAAATAACAGAGAAATTAAAAAATTAATGCAATTTGCCAGAAAATACAATAACTTCTTCAACACAATTTAGGCAGGAATGGATTTTTTTTACCTCAAATTCATATTTTAATTCAGAACTAATAGGATTAAAGCAGGAATCACTTGATTAAATGTATTTGTTTCTGTGGTGCTTAGACTATTGAGCTTAACGATCCACTGAATATCTAGAACATCGGTGTCCCTCAGGGCCTTGGATGGCTCTTCAGACACCTGGCATCATTTCAGATGACAGGTATAGCCAAAACACACATAATTTTCAAAACAGATGTTATCAACATTGCATCATCTCATTTTATAACACCAGTAATCTAACCCTTGATCTGGGTTTCCGTAACTCAGCTCAGAGCCTGCATTTCCTGGTTCAATCCCTCAATCCTGTTGCTGTCTGCTCTTGACAGGTGCATTTCTGCCATGCTTCTGTTGCATCTGCCATTGCTGGCCTGCTCAGATCTGGTGCCTGGACCACCTCCTCCCATTCCTTCTCTACTGACCTTGGTATCTGCATAGTTGTTCACATGTTCTCACTCCGCTCTTTTCTGGCTGCAATTTCATCTGTGCAATACCTTTTTTCCTTCTTAAATATGTTATTTCGGAGGCGTTACTATCATTTCTGACTTGCTTGGCCTTGGCCAGCGGCAGGTCCATCCTGGAGTCAGCTGGTATTGGCTCTGCCAGACATGGGGGAAGCTTCTGGCAGCTTCTCACAGAAGTCACCCCTGTAGCCCCCCCTCTACAAAAACCTGGCCATACAAACCCAATGGTCCAATAAAGCCACAAAAGAATTTTGTATAGATGTAATGTTATATGAAATAATATTATATAATGCTATAGATCTATGGTCTAAATCTTTTATATGCAAAGAAATGGTGGTTGTGACATTCAGGCTGAAAAACAGATGTATCACGAACTGGACTATTTTGAACTAGCCTGAAAGTTAGTGTGAATAGTGGACAGTGCACAGTAGTGATGTCCCTGAACATCAAAGGAAAAATAAGAAACAGAAACAGAGACCTTACAGCCCCTCCACATACTGTATGCTCCATGGAAGAAATAAATTGAAACTTCTTTTCTCTCTCTTCTAAACAAAAAACCCCAGTTTTTAAAAACCAACAGAGGTTTCCTCCTTTATGTTCAAGGACATAGTGATATAAGGTCCTTAATTTTCCCATGAAGTGTTCAGCAAGGATCATTATCTGAACTTTTTCAGAGTATGCAAGACATGTCATTGGTTTTGATCTGGTTAAAATTTTTCTTCTTCTCAGTCATCGTAGCTCTATTTGCAAAGTAAGCAAAAGCAATTTCAAAGGGAGTAGAAAAATTCAAGTTTTCTCCTCCCACTTGTAAGGTCAGTTATCGTTTGACAATACTACACTAGAAAAATTATTGTTTGAATGACACCTTCCATATGCAGTACCAATTGTGAAATAATATTTTCTCTGCCAGGAAGTCTGCAGGCATTTAGGGAAACAGGAATTTTTTCTGTAGTAAATTAGGCATACTCATAAATTTTAAAAGGAGCAAGCCTTTATGTTTGAGGAATGAAGGACTACAGTGAGTAATTCAGGAAATAAAATATAACTTAGTCTTATTATATTTTTTTATTTGCTGATTAGCTTAGAGAGCAGATTTACACTTTGGCCAAAATATATTTGTCTTTGGATTAATTTGGAAGGTACATAATTACCTAGCTGGCATTCAGTAGTACAGTGGGAGATGAAAAGTGCTTTTCCCACACTTTGCATTTTGCAGGAAATTAGATACTTTTAAAAAATTATTATTCATATTAATTTATATGTTAGATTTATAGAGAGCTTCAGGATGTTGGTGAATTTCAACTGTTAACACCAATCATTTAAATAAAAGGTTATATCTAAATTACACTAATCTTAAGTGCTTCTCATGACACTTTCCTCACATGTGGGGAAAATATAGGTGAAGGTATAACTGAATATATAGCTGCTATATTAGAGCAGGAAAGACACTACAAAACAGAGTGTACAGTGAGTCTCCAAATACTTATGACTAACATCATTTTGTGAGTGCTTAGTGCCATGTATCCTTTTCAAGTCTCATCATTCTGCAAAGTTAATAACATATTCAAAGACTATTGTAAACCATTTTTATTGCTTAAATATTCAATGGTGCTGAAAGTACCTTTGGCTTGTTCATGCTATATACTTATAAGATGAATATAATACTTGATAACCATAAAAGATGAAGAAAAACATGTTAATTTTGTCAAGACTGTCACTTCTTCAGCTACCTCTGCTTCTGCCTTGTCAGCCTTTCTTTTCCTTTCTTTCCTTTTCCTTTGTCAAAAGATAAATTAATATTTATGAGTTTTAGTCAGGAAACAAATGGCCCACCCTAAAATCATTAGTTTTTCCATTGGGAAATGAGCAACAACAGCAACCACAAAACTTTCCAAAGTTTCCCTTTTCCCCTCCCCTCCACTCCACTCCCCTCCCTCCCCTCCTTTCTCCAACCTCCAGTCATTCAGCTATGCTAAAGTTCTAATTTCCATATTGAAGTAAAACATTCTGATTTTTTCTTCACTGCTCATGTTCTTGGTCTTACTAACACTCCAGCCTGCTCAAGTTGCCACTGCCACAGCTGTCTTAAAGAATGACTGTTCTGTGCAGAAAATGGAACCACAAGAGAACATAACATTTCAAGGTGTTTCTTTTCATTTATTCTTGTTTACCACAAAGGTCATCATCATGGCTAGGCTTCGCGAACGAAGATTTGGGAAGGGCTCTACCCACTATTCTTGCAAGCGCGTTGGTGGCTAAAAAGGCCAATACGAGAAAGGCAAGTCCGGTTGCAAAAGACACAGCAGAAAGACTCCTTAGATGGTATATTCTGCAAGGCTCGATTCTTTCTGCGTTGTCTTTTCTCCTCAAGAGTGATCCTGCGTGCTTTCTCAAAAGCATCAGCAGCGTTATAAATGGACTGTCTCCAGGCCTCCCGGTTAGAGGCCAGAGTAGACCAGTTATGGTGATCAATATGCCCAAGGCTGAGTTGTTGCTTCAGGGAGTCCTTGTATCTTTTCTTCGGAGCTCCTCTCTTGCGGCAGCCGGAGGCAAGTTCACCATAAAGCAGGATCTTAGGGAGGCAGTGGTCCTTCATCCTGGAGACGTGCCCTGCCCAGCGCAGTTGCGATCTCAGTAGCATGGCTTCAATACTTGTGATTGCTGCCTGTTCAAGAACAGATGTATTGGTCACATAATCTGACCAGTGGATGTTCAGGATTGTACGGAGGCAGCGTTGATGGAAGCGTTCTAGGAGACGCAGGTGGTGGCGGTAGATGACCCATGTTTCGGAACCATATAAAAGAGTAGACAGCACTATGGCTCTGTAGACACTGATCTTGGTACCTTTCTTCAAGTGTTTATTACGCCATACTCTTTTATGGAGTTTTCCAAAAGCACTATATGCCTTCGCTAACCTATTGTCTATCTCCCTGTCAATCTTACCATCTGAGGAGATGAGGCTGCCTAAGTAATTAAACTGTTGGACTGATTTGAGTTCTGATTGGCCGATGGTGATGTGGGGATGATGGAGGACTTCCTGAGGTGCAGGTTGATGGAGAACTTCTGTCTTCTTTAAGCTGACTTCCAGCCCAAAGAGCTCAGCAGCATCTGCAAAGCAGGATGTTAAACGCTGCAGGGCTGCTTCTGTGTGAGCGACAAGGGCGGCGCCATCAGCATAAAGCAGCTCCCGGACAAGATGGTTCGGGGTCTTAGTGTGGGCCTTCAGTCGCCTTAGGTTGAATAGGCTTCCATCGGTACGATATCGAATGTAGATACCGTCCTGATCATCGAGGTCTGCCGTGGCCCTTTGGAGCATCATACTGAAAAAGATTGTGAATAAGGTAGGAGCGAGAACGCAGCCTTGTTTCACGCCGTTCTTTATTAGAAAGGGCTCAGAAAGTGTGTTGCCATATCTGACTTGGCCATGCTGATCTTCATGAAGTGAGGTGATCATTTTAAGGAACTTGGGGGGACAACCTAAACGTTCCAAAATCTGCCAAAGACCTTTTCTGCTCACAGTATCGAAAGCCTTGGTGAGGTCCACAAAGGTTACATAAAGACCTTTGTTCTGTTCCCTACACTTCTCTTGCAGTTGTCTGAGAACAAATATCATGTCTGTGGTGCTCCTGTTGGCTCTGAAGCCACACTGAGATTCAGGTAGAATTTCTTCTGCTATAGCGGGAATTAGTCTGTTCAGGAGTATTCTTGCCAAGATTTTGCCAGCAATGGAGAGCAGAGTAATACCACGGTAATTTGAGCAGTCTGATTTAGTACCTTTCTTCTTATACAAGGTGATGATGACTGCATCACGAAGGTCTGAAGGTAGTTCACCTAGTTCCCAGCAGCGCACCACAAGCTCATGAAATTTAGCATGGAGTGCAAGGCCCCCATGTTTCCAGACTTCAGGTGGAATTCCATCAACCCCAGCTGCCTTGCCAATTTTCACCTGCTGTATGGCCTTGAGGGTTTCTCCTAAAGTGGGGGCAGTATCCAATTCGTATTTCACCGGTCGTTGTGTGATGGACTGAATTGCTGAGTCTTGGACTACACGGTTGGTACTAAAAAGAGTCTGAAAGTGTTCAGACCATCTATTCAGTATGGAGGTTTTATCTGTCAGAAGCGTTTGACCATCTGCACTGAGTAGTGGGCTATGGATTTGGTATGTAGGCCCGTATGCTGTTTTGAGGGCCTCATAGAATCCTTTGTGGTCCCCTGTATCTGCACAAAGTTGAGCTTTTGCAGCTAGATCGGTCCACCACTTGTTCTGGATGTCACGGTGTTTCTGTTGGAGTTTGCTGCATGCAAGACGAAAGGCTACTTTTCTTGCGGGACAGGATGGCAGTGCAAGGTGTGCTTGGTGGGCGGTTCTCTTCTTCCTCAACAATTCCTGGATTTCATGATTGTTTTCATCAAACCAGTCTTTGTTCTTCTTGAGGGAGAACCCTAAGGATTCTTCGGAGGATTGCAGGATGCAGCTTTTAATATGATGCCAAATTGCTTCAGGAGAGGAATCTGCAGAATCTGTGGAATGGTTATCAAGCTTAGTTTGAAGGTTTGCCTGGAATCTTTCTCTTACTGTGGCTGATTGGAGATCGTTAACTTGGAGTCTTCTCCTTGGGATACTGCCCTTTTTGAGTTTGAATTTGAGATTGAAATTGAGTTTACAGCGCACAAGCCGATGGTCTGTTTGACATTCTGCGCTGGGCATCACGCGGGTATGGAGGACATCGCGGACGTCTCTCCGTCGCACCAAGACATAATCAATGAGGTGCCAATGCTTAGATCTGGGGTGCATCCAGGTTGTCTTTAGGCTATCTTTCTGCTGAAAGATAGTGTTGGTAATGGTAAACTGTTGCTCCGCGCAGAATTCTAGCAGAAGTCGACCATTATCGTTGCAGTTTCCAACGCCATGCTTGCCTAATATTCCTTTCCATGCTTCAAAATTTTTGCCTACTCTGGCGTTGAAATCACCAAGGATAATGATCTTATCATCTGCTGGTACCTTTTGGGTAAGACAGCGCAGGTCAGAGTAAAATTTATCTTTTTCAGCAGGGTCAGCTTGGAGAGTTGGGGCATATATGCTGAAGATGACAACGTGTTGGTTGTTATTTAGTGGAAGGCGTAGGGAGATAATGCGATCAGAGTGACCTGTCGGCAGATTTTCGAGTTTAGGGACAATAGAGTTTTTGATCATGAAGCCGACACCAGAGAGATGTTTTT